ACTTCAGTGCCTCCACAGCTAAGATATTCCCTAATTGTTTTCAGACCCAGAGAAAACTTTCTCAGAGACTCTTAGAGACTTTCTCAGGGTGACCCTGACATGTGGAGTTCAGGCCCACATTCCTCAGTCTTTCACCTCGTGGTCTCTTCTTTCAATTACTTTCTTATCATTGGAAGCTTTACCTTGGCTTACCATTTTCTTTGCTCGTATTTGCTACCATTTTCCTTGTAGTTTTTTCCCTCATTCTCCTCCTCTCAGAGGCCTCATATTCTAGGTGATGGAAGAATGATCCCCCATGCACAGGTTGGAAATGTTTTCTGTAAATGCTAAGAAAAAACAGTATATCTGTCACGGGTATTCAACTTTGTTGTCATAACATGAAAGCTGCTACAGACATCAACAAATGAGCATGTCTGTATTCCTATAAAATTTTATTTATAACAACAAATAGCAGACAGAGTTGGCCTGTGGGCTGTAGTTTGCTGACTACAGAGCTACAGTTTTTAGGTCTTTTGGCCTGCAAAGCTGAGGTATAATCTTATATTGGGCATTTTTCTCTATCTTTGTCCTTCAGAAAGGTGCTCATTTAAATATGTATTTGTTTGGGAAACTTCGCCTTACCACAGATAAAAATCTTTTTTTTTTTAATTAAAAACTTTTTTTTTCTTTTTTATTTAGGAAATGGGGTCTTGCTATGTTGTCCAGGCTGGTTTTCAACTCCTGGCCTCAAGCAATCCTCCTGCCTCAGCCTCCTGAAGCACTTGGATTACAGGTGTGAGTCATACCGATGAAACTCTTAATTTTAAGTATAGTCCTTATTCCAATAATACTTGCCACATTTTATCATGAACCTTCATTGAACAGTCAACTGGCTCCCTGGGATTCTGTACTCACAGGTTATTATACGAATGTAGATAATTCAGTGCAGAAACGTCTTTAGCTCAAATCTTAAAGCACAATGGAAATAGTTGAAAAAATGACAATGTGCTCAATAGCATTAACTATGCAGTATCAGCAAACAACCAAGAATCATAAGTTAGCATGATTTTTAACACTTTGATATAATCTAAAACATCTGCTGGATAAGCCAAAGAAAAATTGACCTGAATAATTTTTATTACCAATAAGAGAGAATAATTTAAAAATTATGACTATTAAAATATATAATATTAAGTTGTTATTTTATTATGGTCAGACGACTTGTCACCAGTATGCAGATGTGGATGTACTGTGGTTTTGATTCCTGTGAATAGACTATCGTTTAATATTTTTAGGTATTACAATACTTTCTGAAATGCTGAACCATTATTTAACACACTATAGTAATGGCAGTCAATCTCGTGAGCAATATGAAAGACTAGACAGAAATAGCGAAGAAAGTCTTTCACCATATTTTGAGTAATTATAGAATTGCTTAGTGTAATGAAATGAACACGTGTTAGCATTGTTGAAGGTAATATGAATGACAAATGTACTGAAATTGCGTAGCTAGGGCGTTTCCCTTGTGATATTTTCTGTGCTTCATTTCCTGGGCATTCATTATTCTGCTTAAATATGTTTCAGAAAGATAGTCTTCCTTGACTGGTAGAAAATGCCAATGAAAATGTCAAGGCCTAGAGTTTTCTTTTCTTTTCCTTTCTTTTTTTTCTTTTTTTTTTGAGATGAGGTCTCACTCTGTCGCCCAGGCTGGAGTGAAGTGGGGTGATCTCGGCTCACTGCAGCCTCTGCCTCCTGGGCTCAAGTGATCCTCCCAACTCAGCCTCCCAAGTAGCTGGGACTACAGGTGCACATCACGACACCTGGCCAATTTTTTAATTTTTTGTAGAGATGGGGTTTTGCCATTTTGCCCAGACTGGTCTCGAACTTGTGAGCTCAAGTGATTCACCCGCCTCAGCTTTCCAAAGTGCTGGGATTATAAGAGTGAGCCAACACGCCCAGTTTAGAGTTTTCTTTGTGGGAAGATTTTCTTTAAATAAATAGCATTATTCAGATTCTTTTTCCCAAGTAATGTGAATCTGGGCTGCAACTTTCCAGAGAGACTAGTTTCTGGTCACATCTTCCAATGGATTTCCTTTCCTTTTTTGTAGTCTCCTGATAATGGGGAGTGAGGTAGGTGTGCTTCCGGTTTGTCCTTACCTTCGAAGCTGTAGTACTTACAGGTCCCAGCTATATAGAAGTAGGATCTTCTCACTTTGGACAAGTCCTAGGTTTTGAGTTCTCTATCCCATCCCCTGGGAGGTCAACAGAACCGAAGGGGAATTTTTGAGAGTTTGGCAAATGCCGTTGGGGCAGAGAAGCTTCAGTTCTCTGCTTATTTTTCCATGTCTTCTCTCCTTTCACTTGGATTTTTTTTTTTTTTTTGAGACAGAGTCTTGCTCTATCACCCAGGCTGCCGTGCAATAGTGTGATCTTGGCTCACTGGAGCCTCAACTTCCCAGGCTCAAGCAATTTTCTCACCTCAGCCTCCTAAGTAGCTGAGACTACAAGCATGCACCACCACACCTGGCTAATTTTTGTGTTTTTTATAGAGACAGGTCTCACTATGTTGTGCCAGGCTGGTCTCAAACTCCTGGGCTCAAGCGATCCCGCCTGGGCCTCCCAAAGTGCTAGTATTACAGGCATGAGCCACTGCAGCCGGCTGGCTTTCACTTAGATTTTTGTCCTCTTAATCCTGAAAATTTTGTCTGTGCTTTAATGCTTTAAAGACAACATATTTTATGTTTCATTCTGAATTTGTGGTGGTTTTAAGCAGGATGATTCTTCTGAATAATCTACTCAAACATGGTACCCAGAAACCAATGTCTGCTGAGTTGTTCATGGCTTTAAAAGCTATGATCCATTTTAGACTCTCACAAATATCTCTTTAAGTAACTTTGATTAAAATATTCAATTTCTTTTACAAAAATACTATTATTTGTCAGCCTCACTGATTTGGTATAATTTGGGAAAGCTCAACTAAATTAGTAGAAACCTCCACATGGTATGATGTTTTAAAATAAATTAAATTGTGTATCTTGCACCGGCTTAATAAAACTAGTAAAGTACCTAGTAGTTGTCTTCAGGGAACTTTAGGTGGCTCACACCTGTAATCCTAGCACTTTGGGAGGCCGAGGCAGGCAGATCTCTTGAGGCCAGGAGTTCTTGACCAGCCTGGCCAATATGGTGATACCCCAACTCTACAAAAAAAAAATACAAAAATTAGCCAAGCATGGTAGCACCTGCCTGTAGTCTCAGGTACTTGGGAGGCTGAGGCAGGAGGATTGCTTGAGCCCAGGATACGGAGGTTGCTGTGAGCCGAGATCACACCATTAAGCTCCAGTCTGGGAGACAGAGTGAGACCTTGTCTCAAAAAATCATTAAAAAAAAGAATGATTTGTAATCTCGTATTTATGTAAATGAATGGCTCTTGTAAACGTGCCTGAGGGTGCTTGAAAAGTTTGCTCATGGAATAACACAAAGGGCCCAGATATGAAGAAGTTGGTAAGTCAGGGACGCAGTATGCGAGGAGCCTAAGGCACCATTGTGTGGAACGGGCCCGGTCATCCTCCTAAATGTGGCCACACGTTAGAATCACCTGGGTTTTGGCTGGGATTGGCATCCCAAGATGTCACACCTGGAGTGAAGTGCAGGCATCTATGTATTTTAAAATTTCTTCAAGTAATCCTACCATGACACTGTAGTTGAGAATCACTGGACTGTAGTTCAAGCAATGGGGTAACAACTCCTGTGGCATTCCAGGTTGTGGCTGGGATTCACATTCAAAGATGTTATAGTTGCTGGGTGGGTTCCCAAGAGACAGTCATATGATATTCAACCTACCTTAGTGAATACTGGAGCTGGAAGGGATCTGAGCAATCATCTGGTACAATCTTTGCAATGACTATTTCTCACTGTGAAGGATTTATGTAATGTAAATAAATTATAAAATTCCTCCACAACCCAAATATTGAGTAAAATATCAATAGCATTTGAAAATCTGTTATAAAGGACATAAAGATGGAACAATAGACACTGGGGACTCCCAGAGAGGGAAGGGAAGTAGGTAGGGGTTGTGGGCTGAAAAACTACCTATTGGGTACTGTGCCCACCACCTAAGTGACAGGATCACCAGTACCCCAAACTTCAGCATCACACAATATACCCATGTAATAAGCCTACACTTGTATCCCCCTAACTCTAAAATAAAAATTGAGGCCAGGCACAGTGGCTCACGCCTGTAATCCCAGCACTTTGGGAGGCCAAGGCGGGCAGATCACGAGGTCAGGAGTTTGAGACCAGCCTGACCAACATGATGAAACCCTGTCTTTAGTGAAAATGCAAAAAAATTAGCCGGATGTAGTGGCGCATACCTGTAATCCCAGCTACTCAGGAGGCTGAGGCAGGAGAATCACTTGAACCCAGGAGGCGGAGCTTGCAGTGAGCCGAGATCGTGCCATCGCACTCCAGCCTGGACGACAGAGCGAGACTCCGTCTCAAAAAAAAAAAAAAAAAAAGTTGTAATTTTTTTTTAAGAAAATATGTTGTAATATTGCTCGGAGAAGAGCAAATAGACTGCTTAGTTAATGTATTAATGCATTTTAGCTGGAAGCAGTCCATATGGCTACTTAAACAAGGTCGGGAGGGAGGAGCAGGTAGACTGAGTGTATGGGGGCCTGCTTGCTGATTGCATCTCTTGCAGTTTTATGACCAGCTGTTATGTCTCCATATATTTTATTTTACTTTTTATTTTTTGAGGCAAGGTCTCACTCGTGTCACCCAGGCTGATCACAGCTCACTGCAGCCTTGACTTCTCAGGCTCAGGCAGTCCTCCTGTCTCTGCCTCCTGAGGAGCTGGGACCACAGGTGCACACCATCACGCCTGGCTAATTTTTAAAAAATTATTTGTAGAGACGGGGGTCTCCCTGTGTTTCCAGGCTGGTCTCCAACTCCTGGCCTCAAGTGATCCTCCTGCCGTGGCCTCCCAAAGTGCTGGGATGACAGGCGTGAGCCACTGCATCTAGCATCCATAATATTAGTCAGGTACAGACAGAAGGCATGACTGGCATTTTAAAAATTAGTTCTATTATTATTTTATTTATTCTGCTAGCAGTCTTTATCCCAGCACTGAATGGCTGGCATTTTAAATTTGAAGCAATGAATTACAAACTTTAACGATAAAATTAATTTTAAAAACAGTAAATTGGCGGACAGTTCCCTCCATCCCTCTGCACATGTTCCATGCTGCAGTCAGCCTGGGCCGCTCACTACTTTCTGAAGGTATCCCGGCTTTCCCTCTTCCATGCCCAGGTTTTCCGCCCTAGTCCACTCTCCTAGGCCACCCCCACCAACATGTGAACAAGGAAGCCGCAAGGATTCTTTCTGTTCTGTGTTTCAGAATCTGTGATACTATAAATGCACACTCCAATACCTTGGAGATGGTTTACCTCAAAGACCAAATATATTTCCTATTTATATTCAATGAATAATTAATGGAAGCGAATTATGTGAAGGTGTAACAATAGATAAAAAGGTAAGTGCTTAAATATACCCTTGTATGTGGCCTTAAGAAACTACCATTCTCTCCCCTCCTTTGTTTTATCATCTATTACTGTATAGGATCTCAGTCTCCCTACTGTTTTGCTCAATGTGTTAGATCAGAAAGTTTCTGAGGTAAAGGGATTCTCTATTGGATTAACTCACTCTCCCAGTCCTTCCCTGCTGCTTTGCTACTGAGTTTCTGATACGGAATCAGAAATAAGTAGGTCAGCTTTTGCCAAACTTATTACCCAACATTTTTCTTCTCTGAAGTTCTCACACAACACAGTTATTCTTGTCACTGCAGAGATGGCTCTGAGTGATAGCTTCTCCCTAACCTCATCACTCCAGCTACCACTAAGCTGGGACCTCTTTCCTTCCACAAAATTTGCGCCAGGTCAGTGTGGTGACTCAGGCCTACAATCCCAGCACTTTGGAAAGAGGCAGTGGGAAGATTGCCTGACCCCAGGAGTCTGAAACCAGCCTGGGCAACAATGTGAGATCCTGTCTCTACAAAAAATAAAAACAGAAAAAAAAAATTAGCCAAACGTGGTGGTGCATGCCTCTAGTCCCAGCTGCTGACAGGCTGAGGCTGAGGCTGAGGTGGCTGCCTAAGCCCAGGAAGTTGTGGACGTAGTGAGCTATGATCAGGCCATTACACTCCAGTCTGTGAGACAGAGCAAGACCCTGTCTCAAAACAGAATCAACCAATCAACCCCTAAATTTACTCTACATCCTTTTCGTTTCTCCTTTTTTTCCCTGAAGGTGAACGTCTCCCTGAAAATCAGTACTCATTTAAGTTGAACTATTTTTTTTTTTTTGACACAAGGTGTCTGTCACCAAGGCTGGAGGGCAGTGGTGCGATGTCAGCTCACTGCAACCTCCGTCTCCTGGGCTGAAAGGATCCTCCCACTTCAGCCTCCCAAGTGGCTGGGACTATTCCCAGCTAATTTTAGTATTTTTAGTACAGACAGGGGTGTCAAGATGTTGCCCAGGCTGGTCTCGAACTCCTGAGCTCAAGCAATCCCCCCGCCTCAGCCTCCCAAAGTGCCGGGATTGCAGGTGTGAGTTCTTTATAGCAGTGTGAAAATGGACTAATAACAAGGTATTTATGGACCTTAAGGGTAATTTTGACCACATTTGTTACACAGGCCATGGTAAATGATTACATTTGTAGACATTTTGGTGCCTTGACGTTAGCAAGGGTTGCACAGTCACTTTTCACACACATTCATTCTGGAGATGTATAAAAAATTCTAATTACTTATATTAAACACATTTTTGGTAACAAAGCCTAGTGCCAGATGCTGGCTTTAGATAATAGGGCAGTCTAATGACTTCTGACTTCCTCAGATAAGGAGTTTTGCCTCTGGATGGTCTGCTTGATGGCCACCAGGTGATTTTTGCTGTCCTCAAAACTATGTGAAAATACCTCAATTAAACATAATTGTTTATTATCCACAAAGAAATATGGTGAAATGGAACCAGCTTGAGCCTGGGCAAAGATCCAGGGCACTAGATTTGCTTCCCGAGCTTCCCTGGGTTTGCTCTCTAAATTGTACCTCGTTAGCCCAAATAATTACCCAGGACTAGGGGGAAATGAGGGTGGCAGTGAAGTGTAGCGATGATGCCAATACCCACATCAGTCACTACGGCATTTCTTCAAGAGGCTTGCGCGTTGTTCAGCCCCAAGAGAAGATATAAAATGAACATGGTACTCTCCTATGCCTTAGGAATGAGGACAAAGGCTGTGATGGGAGAGGTGGTGTGTTCTTACAAGTTCTTTAAGACTCAGAATGATGAAAATGCCCTAAGTAGCCTATAATTTTTCATGGCATTTGATTTTGTTTTACTCCAGTTAAAAAATAAAAAAATTACATGAAACTTTATTATCTAGTCACAGTAAAATTAAATACCATTTTATTGAATATTTGTTTTTGAGTAAGACTTATTAACAATTCCAAATATTACAGAGTTCATGAAAAGATATCTATTTAAACTTTTAGAAAACATTTGTGGAATGTCTGCCATGTACCAGATGGGGGGGAGTTCCTGTTAACTCTCCCCTCATGGCTCTCAGTGTTTCTCACTCCCTTCTTAGGTTGAAATTAAGATTTAAGAGTCTTTCTGTCAGATTTTTAGAAATTAATTTATTAGCAAATTACATTGAAAAAATTCTCTTCCAGATGTATATAAATCCAGTGTTTTGATCCTAGTGAAGCGTACAGAATGCTATTATTATGACATTTAAGTATCATAACATAATGTAGCTAATAAAGCTTTTAAAACATTATGGTAAAGCGTACGTGAAATTTACCATTAGTGACATTGAGTACCTTCACCATGTTGTACAATCATCCCCAATAAGTAATTCCAGAACGTTTTCATCACCCTAGAAGGAAACTCCTTTTTAGCAATCACTCCCCACTCTTCCTTTCTCTCAGCCTCTTACAACCATTTATCTGCTTTCTGTCTCCATGGATTTGCCTATTTTGGATATTTCATATAAATGCACTCACGTGATACATTGCCTTTTGTGTCTGCCTTCTTTCACTTGGCAAAATGTGCTCAAGGCTCATCCATGTTTTGGCATGTATCAGTACCTCATTTCTCTTTATGGCTCAATATTCTATTGTGCCATGTGTAGATACCACAGTTTGTTTATTCATTCATCAGCTGATGGCCATTTGGGTTGTTTCCACTTTTTTGGCTACTGTGACTAGTGCTGCGAAGCATGTTTGTGTGAAAGTTTTTGCTTGAACACCTGTTTCAGTTCTTTTCAGTATATGTCCAGGACTGGACTTGCTGGGTCATATGGTAATTCTTTAACTTATTGAGGAACTGCCAAACTGTTTTCCACAGTGGCTACACCATTTAACATTCCCACCAATAATGAATGAAGGTTTTCAATTTCTCCACATCCTCTCTAACCCTTATTTTCTCTATTATTTATTTTTTACCTATAGGTTTAGATCCTAGGTCTATTTTCTTTTTTAAAAGTTATCGTCATTCTAATAGGTGTGAAGTGGTATCTTCCTGTGGCGTTGATCTGCATAATGACTGATGACATTAAGCATCTTTCCATGTGCTTGTCGGCCATTTGTATATCTTCATTAGAGAAATGTCTATTTAAGTTCTCTGCCCCTTTAAAATTGGGTTGTCTTTTTGTTGAGCATAGGAGTTCCTTATATATTCTAGATACTAGTTCCTTAGCAGATATTTAAGATTTACAAAGATTTTTTCCCATTCTGTGGGTTGTCTTTTCACTTTCTTCATAGCGTCCCTTGATACGTAGAAGCTTTTGATTTTGACGAAGCCCAATTTTTTTTTTTTTTTTTTGCTGCTGTTGCTTGTGCTTTTCGTGCCATATCTAAGAAATCATGGCCAAATCCAAGGTCATGAAGACTTATTCCTATATTTTATTCTCAAAGTTTTATGGTTTTAGCTCTTACATTTAGGTCTTTGATCTATTTTGAATTTTTATATATGATATGAAGTACGGGTACAACTTCATTCTTTTGCATGTGAATATTCACTTGTCTTAGCACTATTAGTTGAAGACACTGTTCTTTCTTCATTGAGTGGTCTTGGAACCCTTGTCAAAAAAATCAATTGACCATAGTGTATTGACGTAATTTATTTCTGGACTTTCCATTCTACTCTATTGTTTTATATATTTTTATACCAGCACAACACTGTTTTGATTGAAGTAGCTTTGCAGTAAATTTTGAAACTGGAAAATGCGAGTCCTTCACCTTTATTCTTGTTCAAGATTGTTTTGAACAAACTTGAGTGCCTTCAGTAACTTGCAATCCTGTAAAAATTTTAGGGTCAGCTTTTCTGTTTCTGTAAAAGGGTCACTGGAATTTTAATGGGGATTTTATTAAATCTATAGACTAATTTTGGGACTAATGTTATCTTAACAATGTTAAGTCTTCCAACCTGCCAGCACAGGGTATCTTCCATTTATTTAGGTGTTCTTTAATTTCTTTCAGCAACATTTTGTACTTTTCAGTGTCCAAGTCTTGCACTTTCTTGGTCAAATTTATTCGTATTTTATTCTTTTTCATGTTATTATAAATGGTTTTAATTTTCTCTCAGGTTTTTCTTAGACTTTTGTGTGTTGATCTTGCAACCTGCAACGTTGCTGAATTTTTAAAATCAGCTGGAATCATTGTGTGGATTCTTTAGGATTTTTAGTATATAGGACCATGTTTTCTGCAAATGTAGTTTTACTTCTTCCTATTTGGGATTCATTTTATTTCTTTTTCTTGCCTAATTGCTCTGGCTAGACCTTCTAGTATAATGCTGAATAGCAGTGGGGAAACCAGGAATTTTCATGATATTAGGGGAAAAATTTTCAATGTTTTGCTATTATGTTGTTAGCTGTGGGTTTTTATGAATGTCTTTATCAGATTAAGAAAGTTCCCTTTTCTTCCTAGTTTGCAGAGTGTTTTTACCATGAAAGAGTGTTGGATTTTGTCAGATGCTTTTTCTTATCAATTGAGGTGATTATGCTGTTTTTTCCCTTCATTCTATTAATATGGTATATTACATCGATTGACATTTGTGTGTAGAACCATGTTCCCTGCACTTCTTTGATAAATCTTGCTTGGTCATGCTGTATGATCATTTTAATAAGCTACTAGATTTGGCCTGCTAGTATTTTGAAGTTTTTTTGCATCTATATTCATGAGGGATATTGGTCTGTAGTTTCCCTGTGAGGTCTTTGGCTTTGGTGTTAAGGTAATGCTGGCCTTGGAGAATGGGTCACAGGGTGCTCTTTTCTATTCCATTGTTTGGAAGAGTTTGAGAAGGATTAGTGTTAATTCTTCTTCATATGTTTGGCATAGTTTGCCAGTAAACTCATTTAGTCCTGGACTTTCTTTGCTGGGAGATTTTTGAGTAGTGGTTCAATCTCTTTACTTGTTATAGGGCTGTTCGGAATTTTTATTTCCTTTTGAGCCTGTTTTGTCAATTGGTGTGTTTTTTAATCTAGGTCATCTAAATTGTTGGCAACAATGCTTGTTTTTATGAATAAATTTGTTTATAGTTAAGTTGCCTAAAATACCATGCAATTCATCTAATATGTATAAAACTTGAAATATATTGCATCTACTTTTCTAAAGAAAAATCTGTAAAATTCCATAAGAGATGTAAACAATTAAAATAAATAATTCCTCACATAAAATGAATCTTTTTATTTCCTTTTGAGCCTGTTTTGTCAATTGGTGTTTTTTAATCTAGGTCATCTAAGTTGTTGGCAAATAATGCTTGTTTTTATGAATAAATTTGTTTATAGTTAAGTTGCCTAAAATACCATGCAATTCATCTAATATGTATAAAACTTGAAATATATTGCATCTACTTTTCTAAAGAAAAATCTGTAAAATTCCATAAGAGATGTAAACAATTAAAATAAATAATTCCTCACATAAAATGACATTTTTTTTTTTTTTTTTTTTTGAGACGGAGTCTGCTCTGTTGCCCAGGCTGGATGGAGTGCAGTGGTGCGTCTCGCTCATCACAAAGCTCCGCCTCCGGGTTCATGTTTTTTTTTTTTTTTAGTAGAGATGGGGTTTCCACCGTGTTACTCAGATGGTCTCGATCTCCTGACTCTCATGATCCACCTGCCTCGGCCTCCCAAAGTGCTGGGATTACAGGCGTTAGCCACTGCGCCCAGCCGAAATCTTTCTTTTTCTCCCTAGTGGTAGGAATAGTAAGAGTGAAGACTGCTGAGTGAGATGGCCTTTGTATGAATCCCTGCTCTGCCACTTACTTGCGGTATATAACCCTGGGGCTAACTTCTCTGTACCCCAATCTCCTTAGCTATAAAAAGGTAATAGAACTACCTCATAAGGTTGTTGTGAGGATTAAGTGCATTGATGCATACAAAAACTTTGATTCTTAGTTCACAATAAACAATATTAGCAAATATTTTCCATAAGGTGGTTACTAATTGGGGTTAAAATAAAAAGCATCTTAGACATCTCAATGACTTATATCTTGTAGGATTTATCACAAAATGCTACTGCCCAGTGCATTTTTGCAAACAATAACAATTCACTGAGAGTAATAACATTCACATTATGTAATTAGAGTTTACAAATGTAAAAAACTTAGGGTAACAAACACTTTAAACTTAGTTTTTAGACATTCAATAAGCCCATTCCCCCACAAACTTTGATTACAAAGAAGCACAATGGGTTAACTGTGGCAAAACATAAGAAATAAGGCAGGGGGGCAGATACAGACTTGAGAACATAAGGATATCCAAACAATTTTGTCAATATCAAAAGACAAAATCAAAGCATCTTTTATAATATAAAACAAATCCATATAATTAAATACTAATTAGGTGAAAGAACATTATAGGGTATATAACATTTATTTTCTCTACATAAATTTGCATATCTTAAATTTAATGCAAAACATCATGTTTCAACTTCAACTTAACATCATAACATGTAGTTCTTGTTGAGTCTAAGATGTAATGGAATGAATATTTAAATAGACTTCAAAGATCCTATCAAGTTTTTATTTGGTTATTGTTGCTTTAAGTCCTTAATGCTTTTCTTTATTTATTGGACTAAGCCAATTTTAGAAACAAAATCCACAACCAACACACATATAATGCAGATGTTTCTGAAAAAACTAAATAGTGTTATCTTTAGTGTATCATTAAAATAGTGGTTGTGGTTAAACAAGCAAACAAATTACTGCAACTCAAGTATGATAAGCTTACAAAAAGTAGCATTTTAAAGTTTCATCTGGTGTGTCTGCACCGTAGGAAAATAAATCTGGATGTGAGTAAGATGTGCTTGACTGAATTAAGTGAAACCCCCAGTTAGCACTGGGTTATGTTCCAGGGCAGTGCATTTGTCCGCACATATTACATCAGGAACGTGTGTTCACAATCCACCAGCTGCATGTTTTAATTTACTAAGAAATGAAAGGAATTAATCCTGGTCCATCCACTGCTTCCTCCTTTGTTTTACTATCTTCACTTTGAGATCAGGCACTTTGTGCCCAGGATTGTGACAATGCACGTTTACTAAAAATGTATCCATGGATAGAATAATTATACTAAATTAATAAAGGAAGACGGTGTCTTCATGTAGAAAACAGAGCACTAAATTATAATTTTACAGTCACAACACAAGCTCCAGCTCTTCCTAGGCACAGTGGAGCAACCTGAAAAAGAAAAAGAGATATGTATTGGATTTGTAGGTTAAAATGTCGACTCTACTATACCAGTTGGTGAAATATTGAAGCAGCCTGTACTTGTTGGCAAAGGGTTGCTGCCCTGGCCCCTGCTGTATCAGTGCTGTTTCTGGCCTGGTCCTCTTCCCAAGAACCACCCTCCGTGGCAAAGCTTCACAGACTACATTGTTCTGGGTATATCATGATTGTGTAGCATTCACTCTTCTTTAAAGGTGATTTTTAAAAACAGCTCAATAATTCATCTACATGAAACACTCTATTTTAGCCAAAATGATGCACAGTATGGATATGAAGAAATGCTGAACGCTTACAGTAACGCTGTGACCAATATGGAGGAAAGATCAAGTTTTATCTAGAGAGGTCCTCTAACAGCCATGCTGTCTCAGAGACAGCACACAAAGTACTCTGAATGCCTGGGGATCTGCTTATTCTAGAAGAACTCGTAACCTCACATTTTTGGACTACCTTCTATGTGCACGGCTGAAAAGTCTAAACCCATTCTACTACTTTTTAGCAGACTAAATAAATAATAAATGCTACCCATCCAACTCCCCTAGGAGTGGAAACAAACTCAGTGAATGAGCTCTGTTACAGTGAGATAGAAGTCGGGGGAGGGTTGCTAGGAAGGAATACAATCTAAATTTATGGATAAAGAACAATTCTTAAATCTTTCACCTCTTTTTTAAACAATAGGAACTCTAGACACTGGGTAATTTATAGTGGAAATAAAAGTGTGAACAAAAATAGTTTTTGAAGAATTACTCTGAATGCAGTAAGAATCTATGCATTTGACCCAGGAGAGTTAAAATGTTAACATGGATTGGGGGGGTGAGTAATGAAAAGTACTAGGAAGGTTTGCTTTGTACTTATATATGTTAGGGTATATACTAAAGTATTTTTGTCAAATGCCAAAATGACTTCCTAATCAGTTTGACCCCATGGACCAATGAGTAGATTTTAAGAACAGGTCAGATTTCAGTTATAAGAGAATACTTAGCAGTTCTCCATTTGAATCAGTTGTTTTGATCACTGTAAGTCTCTTGGAACAATCAAATAACCTATTTTAAAACCATATCTATTTATAGCATTATCAAACTGACCTCAAAAATCATTTATATCAAAATGTCAGTTTATAATTAGTAGCTCTTCTCAAATCACCCAAGACATTTAGTCTCTACACTGTGAATAGTTGACACTGTCATGACAACCAGCTAGAAAGTGTAGCTTAGAGAATTTGTATACAATACAATCACAATCAATCAATCAATCAATACAATCAATCAATACAATACAATCACCTCTTGCTTTGAGGTAAGGCTGGTAGTGAGGGGGTAGTGGCTTAGGACTTTGTCATCTTGTTTTAGTGCCTATACAAATGTCCATCTGTCAGAACACTGAAAGGAAAACTTCAAAATTTTTTTGTTTCTTTGGCTTGTTTTTGAGACGGAGTCTTGCTCTGTCACCCAGGCTGGAGTGCAATGGTGCCATCTCAGCTCACTGCAACCTCCACCTCCCGGGTTCAAGCAATTCTCATCCCGCAGCCCCCTGAGTAGCTGGGACTACTGGCACACGGCACCATACCTGGCTAATTTTTTGTATTTTAGTAGAGACAGGGTTTTACCATGTTGCCCAGGCTGGTCTCGAACTCCTCGAACTCCTGAGCTCAGGCAAACCGTCCGCTTCGGCCTCCCAAAGTGCTGGGATTACAGGGGTGAGCCACTATGCCTGGCCCAGGAAAACTTACATTTTTCAGATACTATGAAAATGAGTTCACATTTTTAGGTGCTTTAACATAGTAATAGAGGTGGCTTACAAGAAAAATAGCTATGTGGACACTGATGATAAATTTTGATATGGGATTATTTAGCATAATGTATTAATTATAAATAATAACAAGTCTCAAATAACTGGCTGATAGGGCTTAAATCATATATATAACTGGACTTAGGGCTTAAATACATGTCAGAAAAAGATTCTTATCTTAGCTCCTTGGGTGTCATTCACAACTGTTTTTGCCATAGTGGGAAGCTGATACTAGGTAATCATCTAATTTCCAATGAAATCTTGTAGCTCTCAATCTTATCCCTTCCTCCCTCCATCAAGTGATCTCACTTAAGAAACAGAATAAAGCCCACACAATCTAAGTCCTTTTTTTCTATCTTTTTCTTCACACTACATTCAAATTCTCATCTTTTCCCAAGCCTTGGAGGGTAAGATCTTTCTTCTAGTCTGAGGGTGACCAGTCTGCTTTTTTTTTTGAGAGGGAGTTTTTGCTCTCGTCGCCCAGGCTGGAGTGCAATGGTGTGATCTTGGCTTACTGCAACTTTCACCTCCCAGGTTCAAGCGATTCTCCTGCCTCAGCCTCCCAAGAAGCTGGGATTACAGGTGCACATCACCACACCCAGCTAATTTTTGTATTTTTAGTAGAGATGGGGTTTCACTATGTTGGCCAAGCTGGTCTTGAACTCCTGACCTCAGGTGACCCACCCGCCTTGGCCTCCTGAAGTCCTGGGATTACAGGCATGAGCCACTGCGCCCGCCCCCCAGTCTTTGCTCCTAGTTCTGTTTCCTGCCCTTTTCTCAGAAAGGTGCCCTTCAAGTTTTGCTTTCTTTCTAGTATCTAGAATCTTTCTCTACCCTCTTGTCATCTCTATTGTGGAAAAAAAAAATCCTTGGCTCAAATTCTAACTCTACCATTTATTTGCTATGTGGCCTTGGGTTAGCTGTTTAACCTTTGTGTCATATTCCTCATCCTGTACAGTGGGAAAATACCAGAACTCAACCTTATAGGGTTGTTGAAGATTCAATTCTTTACAGTGCTTAGAACAGAGCCTGGTCTGTAAGATGTGCTGAATAAATATTCACTTTCTATCATCATCATTTAAAAACTGCATGCCTCTCTAGCTCCTACACCCTATTCTTCTGTTTACTTTTTTTTTTTTTTTTTAGACAGAGTCTCGCTCTGTCACCCAGGCTGGAGTGCAGTGGCACGATCTTGGCTCACTGCAACCTCCACCTCCTGAGTTCAACTGATTCTTGTGCCTCAGCCTTGTGCCTCAGCTGGGACTACAGGAGCACTAATTTTTGTATTTTTAGTAGAGACGGGGTTTCACCATGTCGGCCAGGCTGGTCTTGAACTCCGGGCCTCAAAAGATCCGCCCACCTCGGCCTCCCAAGGTGTTGGGATTACAGGTTTGAGCCACTGTGTGCCTGGCCTCTTCTGTTTACTTTTGAAACTGTGTACTGGCTTCTGCTTCTATCAGATTCTCAGAGAATCCCATAACTTTACAAATGACAAATCTTCATTCTTTCTTATACTGTTGAAACTCCTACTCCTCCCTTTAGATGCGCTATTCCATTGTCTTCTGAGAACTTCTCTGATCATTCCTTTCCTGTTTTCTTCAGAGACCATACCTCCCAATTCAACCCAGCAAGTGTGTGTATATAAAGAAAGATCAACAAGACTTGGCAATATCTCTTGAATCCATCTACATTGAATGCTTCAAGCCTTGCAACTGAAGCAATCCTCTAAATATTTTTCCTTTTATCCAGCCCTCACTTCCCCTGCCCCTAACCCAACCTACGTGACCCCAACTGCATCATTCACTTGGTTGAAAGTTTCTGCTGGCTTCTTGTTACCAAACTCTTTAGCTTGGCCTTCACACATCCCCATTCTTTAAAAAAATTATTATTAAATGATTATTTATTTTTAAGAGACAGAGTCTTGCTCTGTTGTCCAGGCTGGAGTGCAGTGTCATGATCATGGTTCACTTCAGCCTCAACTCCTGGGCTCATGCGATCCTCCGCCTCAGCCTCCCAAGGTAGATGGGACTACAGGTACGTGCCACCACACCTTGCTAATTTTTCAAAATTTTTTGGGCTGGGCATGGTGGCTCATGCCTGTAATCCCAGCACTTTGAGAGGCCGAAGCAGGTGGATCACGAGGTCAGGAGTTTGAGACCAGCCTGGCCAACATGACAAAACCCTGTCTCTACTAAAAATACAAAAATTAGCCGGGTGTGGTGGTGGGCACCTATAATCCCAGCTACTCGGGAGGCTGAGGCAGGAGAATCACTTGAACACGGGAGGTGGAGGTTATAGTGAGCTGAGATCGTGCCATTACACTCCAGTCTGGGCGACAAGAGCAAGACTCCATCTGAAAAACCAAACAAAACAAGACAAAAAACCCACAAATTTTTGTAGAGACAGCATCTCACTTTGTCACCCATGCTGGTTTGGAATTCCTGGCCTCAAGTGATCCTCCCACCTTGGTCTCACAGATCTCCATTCTGACCCCAATCTTCCTCTCTAGTAAGCACTCCTCCTCCTCTCAAGCATAGATCCTTATAACCAGTCATACTTCAATATGTCTTACATAATTCTGCTTTGGTGACATTTCTTTCACATTTTCTCACAGTTTCTTCTTTCCCATCTTTTTGAATTGGATCAATTCACTAAGGCTTAGTTTAAATCCCACTTCTTTCTCACTAAAGCTTTCCCCATAACCACTTTCTGTTTTCTCTTATCTCCTGTATCACTTGGCGCCTGTGCCACGGGACACGAAATACCCACTGCCTTGCGTGGTGCATTCTCCTCTTGCACATGTAGATCTTACCTACCCCAAGACCTTAGGTTACATGACCGTGGGGCTTCACAGAAGCTTTGTTTTCTTGACAATACTTACCATTGCTCCTTGTATACAATACAATCTTGGCTCAGCTAAACATTTACTGTCTTTTATGTACCAAGTACTGAATTCGGTGTCATAAGCACAAATTCCTGATTCTGTTCTTGGTGATGACGGAAGCAAAGATCTCAAAAGATCATTCTTAGAAGTGCTAGACCCTCCCAGACATACACAAGGGTGAAATTCTTTCTGTTAGTAAGATTGCCAGATCAGGTTTCTTACTTAGTGTAATTTAGGGTTGCCATCTTCATTAGGTTATCAGGACTTTAATCTGCTCCCAAATATCAATGGGTTGAGTATTTTAAAATCACTGCTCATGCATGGGCAAGTTGTTCATAGTTTTCTGACTACTATCCTTGTTTTTCTTTTCCAGTCTCCCCTCCCATTGTTACAGCCTGCCTGTAGTCCTATCGGCTTTAATCAGGTTAGAACACCTCATCATGCAAGTGGTAGCAGATAATTATAATTTCTCTGAGTATTAACTTACATCTCAAAGGTAATTCTGGATTTTAATTATGTGATAAAATTAAACATTGCCTCTTTTTCTCATCTTTAATCAAGAGGTGATTGTCATATTTATGCCATATATTTCAGTATTGGACAAGATTGAGGGGATCTGTTTTACCATAAGAATTGTTTTAATAAAGAGAGTCAGTGTAATAATGAAACATGAAATGCCGTACCTGGGTCCACTCATTTGTCTGGGGATCATAAGCCTCCACGGTATTAAGGTATGCTTGTCCATCATACCCCCCAACAGCATATAACTTATCACCAAGTAAACAGACCCCCACTGCATCTCTGCTGATGCTCATGGATGCTACTGCAGTCCACATGTCTGTTTTGGGATCATATCTGAAAGAAAATTTTAGAACCGGAGCTGACATTATTCTTAAAATATTTAGGTAAAAACAGTTTTGTTCTTCAAGTCTATCTTCTGACTTATTATCTACGATGTAAATCAAATACATTTGAACATATTTTTGAGAAAAATACCAATATTTTTCTGACAACTTTAACTTACAGTATTATATTAACAGATCCACTTAACAGATGTATAACACTTAAAAGGAGCTAGGGTCAGTACTGAAAACTGCTTTCAGACCTTAGATTACCTACTGAAAATTTGGGGAAATCAATGCATTAAGCTCTATGTAAGATGGCTCACAGCCTCAATCATTGTAGCTGTCCAGTTTTGGGCTTTCTTGCTCCTTTCATGAGGTATCTTAACTAGAATTGCCCACAGTTGTATAGCTAAGAGCAGATACATCATGCTAGGATGACTGATATTGCTCCTAAATCTGTTGTATCAATGAACAGCTTTCCACTGAGTGTAGTACAACAGCAAGCCCATAATTCATGGGGCAAAGTATATAAACACTTCCACATTCCTTTCCTGGATTACAACATGAAACGAGCATAGGTCTGAATTGTTTTCCCCCCAATATAAGTGAAATGCAGTTGTAACTTTCCCGCTTTCTCAAACAACACCAATACAGAAAGCACTTGTTATCGTTTGGATGTGGTTCATCCCCCCCAAAACTCATGTTGAAATTTAATTGCCAATGTAATAGTGTTGGGAGGTGGGGCCTTTAAGAGGTGATTAGGTTGATAAGATGGATTAATGTTTTTCTCCTTGGTTAGTTCTTGTGTGAATGCATTAGTTCCTGTAAGAGCAAGTTGTTACAAAGTGAAGTTGCTTTGCATTTTTGAATGCCGACTTTCTCTTCCAACTCTCCAACATGTTACCACACAGCACAAGGCCCTCGCCAGAACCTGTCAGATGCAGCCTCCCAATCTTGAACTTCCCAGCCTGAAGAACTGTGGGCTAAAGAAACCTCTTTTCTTTATAAATTACTCAGTCCTGGGTATTCTGTTATAGCAATGGGAAACAGACTAAGAGAGTGCTCATTATCATCAACAAACTTTGATTTTATTTTTTATCCTTCTTATGGTCACTTGGTCATGTACAACTTAAATAAATCAAACTAATCTTTAAAAAAAATCTGATCACGTCCAACAGACATACACACACACAAACACACACACACTCTCTGTCACACATGGGCGCTCATTAACTTCCCATTTTTCTTTATAATCCAAAACCCTTAACAATGCCTCAAGGAATCTAGATGATCTGCACCCACCCTGCCCACTCTGCCTCCTTTCCTGCCATTCCCTCCCCATCACTCTTTGCTCTCCAGCCACAATGGCTACCTTTCAGTTTCCTGTATGAACAGTATTTCTTTCTGCTTTGGAGTGTTCAGACAAACTCCTATTGATTGTACCGCCTAAATCCATTCAATTCTCTCTATTCCTTGTACTAGACTAAACATAAGAAACGGGAACCTGACCTACCATCCAAATCTCCCACTGCTCTTCGGCTCTCTACCTGGCACCACACTTGAGTTTTGCGAGGCCAGTTGGGATGACTTAAGTTTGTAAGCCTTATTATTAGTTTTTTATTTTTATTTTTATTTTATTTTATTTTTATTTTTTTTGAGACGGAGTCTCGCTCTGTCTCCCAGGCTGGAGTGCAGTGGCCGGATCTCAGCTCACTGCAAACTCCGCCTCCCGGGTTTACGCCATTCTCCTGCCTCAGCCTCCCAAGTAGCTGGGACTACAGGCGCCCACCACCACGCCCGGCTAGTTTTTTGTATTTTTTAGTAGAGACGGGGTTTCACCGTGTTAGCCAGGCTGGTCTCGATCTCCTGACCTCGTGATCCACCCGTCTCGGCCTCCCAAAGTGCTGGGATTACAGGCTTGAGCCACCGCGCCTGGCCTAGTTTTTTATTTTATATCAAAACACACAGAAATGTCCCTATCCTTTTCGCTTTTTATTTAGCCTACAGCCCTTAAGTCATTCTGCATAAAATTCATCAAGCTCCTCTTCTTATTAGGTCCAATATCCCATATAAAGTAAAATTGCCTTGTGTGTAGTGCATGCTCAACACAAACTTATTTTTCTGGAAGTATCAGTTCCTGTGAGAGCAGGCTGTTATAAAGTGAAGCTGCTTTGCATTTTTGAATGCTGACTTTCCCTTCCAGTTCTCCAACATGTTCTCCAAATAGACATAAGTATCAGAGACTTATATATATATTTTTCTTGTTCGTAGTTTTTCTTTGCAGGAAATTACCTCTCCACACAGTCTGAGAGTCTGGAAGTCAAGTTGGATGCGGGAGCGTCGTGCCCCCCTATAGCATACAGCAGTCCGTTCCAGGTCGTCACTCCTACGCCACCTCTCCTTTTTGACATCTGTGCACACAGTGTCCACTTATTAGTATGAGGATCAAAACATTCTACTGATTTGAGACAAGAGCTTCCATCACGACCACCAACTGCATAAAGTCTGTAAAAAGAATAAATGAAATGATAAATAAGACATTGTGCCATTATGCTTAGAACAAAGTGGCTCTTCTTATGTTATTTCATTGAATTTAAGGTGCCATCAGTTATAAAACACACTGTCAATGTGTGTGTCATTAAAGAAGATATGCTATGTTTGAAATGACACATGTAAGTATATCACTCTGTATAAACAAGAAAAGGAAAACAAACTGCACATGAAGGCACTGACAACTATTTCACCACTGCCATCTCTTTGACAAGTCACCATTGATTGTAATATGCACTGAAATTCTACAGGTGTTAAAATGTGTGTCTTAGAATAGACAAAACATGGTGTATAAATATACCATGGCTTATTTTTTTTAATAGTTAAGACTTTATTATCAAGGAAGGAAACTAACCTTCTCTGAGCACCTACCATAGGTTAGGGACTTTATATGTACTAATTTAATCATCACAGTGATATAAGAAACTGTTTGAATCCCTATTTCACAGGTAAAGAAACAACGGTTCACGGAGAGTAAGAGACTTGCACAGGGTCACCCAGTAAGAAGCAGAATCGGGACACATAGTTTTATTAATGAACAAACAGTTGGACAGTCAACACAGTCATGTAGAGTGTACTTGTAATAGTGAAATAGGAGAATAAAAATATAGCTTGAAACAATGGCATAAAAAGTAACATTTGTTACATATGAACAATGATACTTCATTAATTTAAATTACTGCAGAAAAGGATATAGGTTATCACGTGAACGACCTAAATGTTACCTAGTAGATCAATTTAAATTCATTATCAATCAATACACTGCACTAATTTGAAATAGTCTTTTACTCTGAACCTAAAACGTTTGTAAAATATTTTAAATATTTGAACATAGTATTTCTTGTTAAGCAAAAATCTTCTTGTATTTACTATTCATTTGGGAAGCTCTCTATAAATATTTTTTCTACTAGTTTTTTAAAAGAGTAAATTTACTTTGTTGCTCATCAAAAACATTATAACATTTTGAATTTACAAATGTTAGTTAATACTTAACTGTTTTTATCATTTCTCAAGAAACAATATTTTAATTATCCCAAATTTCTGCCAATTAAAACTCTAAGTATTTATATTTAGGTAAATCTACATATTTAACCACAGATTTCCTAATTAAGGTATGCCACTATGTCACTGAAACTGTTTCTTAAATAATAAGATGACCATATCTTAAACAGCAACATATGGTTGTAGCAATATCTTGTTCTAAACTTAAACTATATTAATAGTATGGAAATTGAAATTTATTTGAAACATCTATTAAAATTTATCTTCAAACTTCTTTTATCTGTTAAAAACTTTTATCTATTAGTAACTTGTTTATGTTCTAGTTCTTAATATTATTCTTCAACTAATACTTGGTAGAAGAGTTATCTAAATATGGATCACAGAACATAAGAAGCCTTCAACAATTAGGGAGGATCAGTAATTTAAAATAATTCACACATGCATATGTGTGTGCACACCCACACATACCCACACACAATAGGCTTTAAAGCCTCTTACCCTCTTGAACAGTGGACTCCTGGGTCTTAATTGTAAAGAATGGTACAGTACAATGATTAAGAGCATGAACTCTGGAACCAGACAATTCTGGTTCTACCACTTACTAGTTGTGACTATGGACAAGTTATTTAACCTCCATCTAAACTTCATCATCTATAAACCCTGCCTCATAGGAGGGTTTGATAATTAAATTTAAAGTACTTTGAACACTGCCTAGTACATGATAATCATGGTGTAGACATTTACAGAGAAAAATTAATTGTCTCTCTGTTCTTGTAGAAAATAGCACTTACAGGAGATCTTAAGTGTACAAACAATGTTTATATTCAGCTAATATTAAGGGTTAAAATCAATTGGTAACACTTCCTAAATAATCATTATCTCAAGCAATGATTTTCAAACTGTGTTCTAAGAATAGGATTCTATGAAGAAATTGAGGGAGTCTAAAAAATGGTTCATTTGAATTTCAAATTTTAAAAATTATTTTTAATTTTCAAAAATATCACCTTGCTCAATTAAATGTCATGTAAGACTCAGAACTCATCTCTCTTCCCCATGATAGTGTCTATTATAATAAAAAGAGAAATATTATGTCAACTTGTGAAAGTATTGTACTACCTATATATCTTAATAATAAGATTTAGGTCTTGCCTGACTTTTAAAATTATGATCAAGAATGCAAGTAGGCTGGGCACGGTGGCTCACACCTGTAATCCCAGCACACTGGGAGGCCAAGATGGGAAGAATTACTTTGGCCCAGGTATTTGAGACCAACCCGGGCAGCACAGTGAGATCCCATCTCTACAAAAAATCATTTTTTAAAAATTAGCCAGGCATGGTGGTGCATGCCTGTAGTCCCAGCTACTCAGGAGGCTGAGGTGTGAGGATAGCTTGAGCCTGGGAGGGAGGCTGAGGCTGCAGTGAGCTGTGATCGTGTCACTGCACTCCAGCCTGGACAACAGAGCTAGACCCTGTCTCAAAAGTAAAAGGAATGCAAGTAGTTGGCAGATACTGTTTGAGATTCAACTTAGAAAAAAGATTTATTACTACTTTCAAACTGTTTGGGCAATTTAACTGAGGAATTTCCTGAAATTCCAATTAAATTACTCTAGTAGTTAAAATAACTGTTACCATTTCAGCCTCTTATCTGTGAATCAAGATTTTCCTCATATTAGACAATCAAGACAAGACACAGAAATAAGCTGAGTGCTCTTTAAAATGTATTCTTCTGTTCTTCAGCACTTACTCTTCTTCACAGATTTTTATAATAAGTAAATATAAGCTTGAACTTGTGATACACTTTAAGTAAGCTTAAAATAAACTTGAACTTCCATTTGCCTTTTAAATATTGAGGTATTTTTAAGATTTCATTTGAAAGAGAGATTTAACTGCTAAAAATATTTGCCAGCCAGTGCCTTAAAGGTAGCCTGAGCAACTGGAAGTCTAAATAAGGTTTCTTTCTGTCAAATATGGTAGGAAAATTTTAAGATTTGGGAGGCCAAGGTGGGCTGATCACTTGAGGTCAGGAGTTCGAGACCAGCCTGGCTGACATGGTGAAACCCTGTCAAGAATACAAAAATTAGCTGGGCATGGTGGCAGGTGCCTATAATCCCAGATACTTGGGAGGCTGAGGCAGGAGAATCACTGGAACCCAGGAGGAGCTGAGATTGCCCACTGCCCTCTAGCCTGGGAGATAGAGCGAGACTCTGTCTACTCCCCCACCACCCCCCACCAAAAAAAAAAAAAGAAAAGAAAAAGAAATTATAAATAAGTTAAAATAGGCCAGGCGCAGTGGCTCATGCCTGTAATCCCAACACTTTGGGAGGCCAAGGTGGGTGGATCACCTGAGGTCAGGAGTTCGAGACCAGCCTGGTCAACATGGCGAAACCCTGTCTCTACCAAAAATACAAAAATTAGCTGGATGTGGTGGTGCACACCTGTAGTCCTAGCTACTTGGGAGGCTGAGGCAGGAGAATCGCTTGAACCTGGGAGGTGGAGGAGGCTGTAGTATGCTGAGATCGTGTCACTGTACTCCAGCCTGGGCGACAAAGTGAAACTCTCTCTCAAAATAAATAAATAAATAAGTTAAAATAACAAAAACCACAAAAATCAAAGCTCTTCATTTTACAGAATAAAAAAATTGAGGCACAGAGAAATGATTTGTTCTAAACCACAAAGCAATGATAAGATGCATCGTTAGTTTTTTTCAACCAACCGCATACTTTCTACTTATTCCAGATTCTTTAGATATACTCTACTTTCAAAATCAAATTTCTTAATAGTTAGTAGATTAGAGATCCTTAGCTTCTGATATGATTAATTAGGTTGTCTCTGAATTATATTCAGTTAACTGTACTTTAGGTGGGTTAAGGATTGAAATATTTCTCATTAGAGGGCAAGAAAAGGTAAGAAAGTAAGATGTTTCTATGCCTAGAAAGCTAAGCTACTGTAGGTCCGGAAATTAGGTTTAGGGGAGGCAATTATTGTTTTGTCCTCTATTAGAAATAAGGGCTAAGAAATAAGCTGCTGAACAAAAATTAATCCAATGAATCAATCCCAAAGGTTTAAACCAAAGGGTCAAAGCCGCGAAGATACTCTTTCATTTTCTTTTTCTCTCTATTTACTAGATTATTTAATGGCTGACTCTTATCAAAGAGTTTAGAAAGATATGTAGTGATGAATTTTGAAGTGATTTCTTTAGCTAAAATAAATGAGGGCAGGGGCATGGAGATCAAAAACATCTAAAAAGTGATTTCCATTTATCCATCTTATCACATGTAATAGTGCTTAAAAAAAAGTACCAAAAAGTAGAACATAACTGACGGGTTCTGAAGAAACAAGATCTTAGGTCCTAAAATATAAAACATTTCACTAATTTTTCATTTTCCTTATAATCACTAACAAAATTCTATAAATAATTTTAATTCTATTTTAACCTTGATTCATTTATTTTTCTGGAAACAATGATAAAGCATTCTAAATGAGCAAAAAGTACCCCACAAATAACTTTTCTTTAACAACCACAGACGGCTTCATTTTATGGAAGAAGAAAGGACTGAAGAAGAAAGGACTGAAAAAAGACACACATTTACTTTCCGAGTAACAGAGCTATTAGTGATGGCTCTACCTATATTTATTTATTCAGAGCAGACAAGAAGCAAGAGAGCACCTCTTTATAAATCCATTCTAGTTTTCACCAGTTTTCCAAGATAAGAAAGAGGTGAAAGTCAAGATAAGAAAGAGGTGAAAGTCAAGATAAATCAGTAGAAAAGATGTAAGGAATTTTTAGAGAAACACTGAGAGAGACTACACTACTTTTAAAAGACCATACATGCTTTTAAACATAATACAGATAATATACTTTTAAAGTATATTAAATAAAATATTTTAATATAGATATACCAGATTTTTACAGTACAACTTATTAATATTGAACATTAATATAAAATGTCTTCACTCAAAATAACTAGAAATGTACAGTATCTGCATATTAAAATGAAAGCCTAGCTTAACAATCAACTGTTTATATTTACAACTATTATAGAAGACATTGTCTTAAAAGTCTCTTCAAGTCACTGTATTTATGTATATCTTTAAATTAGAAATGATATAGCTTAATAAATTTGGTGTACTGCATTTTAAATAGAACTTTAAGTATTTCCTTACTTTCCACTTAGTACTGCCACACCTACTGTACTCCTGGGGGTAGACATAGTGGCAACAAAATTCCACTGGCGAGCCTGAGGGTCCCATCTTTCCACCGTGTTCAGATAGCTCCAGCCATCATGTCCTCCTACAGCATACATGGGACCTTCTAGTACAGCCACACCTATGAAGAGACAGGAAACAACGACTTCAGATTGGCTGCCATCTTAAAAATCACATTTTAATTGAAGTATAAGTACAATAAGCCTTAAACATACAAATGGAACTGAGTAAACATTTATAATGTAGACATGTGTCCTCAGTGTTCTTAGTAGGTCGGTGGGTGGGTGGGTAGGGAGTTGAAATAGCATGGGAGTTCTGGTCTTAAACGTTCTAGAGACTGGCCGGGCATGGTGACTCATGCCTGTAATCTCAGTGGTTTGGGAGTCCAAGGTGGGAGGATCACTTGAGGTCGGGAAGTTCGAGACAGGCCTGGCCAATATGGCGAAATCCCTTTTCTACTAAAAATACAAATATTAGCTGGGCATGGTGGCAGGTGCCTATAATCCCAGCTATTTGGGAGGCTGAGGCAGGAGGATCGATTGAGCCCTGGGGGCGGAGGTTGCAGAGAGCCAAGATCGCGCCACTGCACTCTAGCCTGGGCAACGGAGTGACACTCTGTCTCAAAAAAAAAAGTTCTAGAGGCTGGGCGAGGTGGCTCAAGCCTGTAATCCCAGAGCTCTGAGAGGCCAAGGTGGAAGGATCTCTGTGAGATTAGGCTGGGCAACACAGGAAGGCTGCCATCTCTATGAAATTTTTTTGTTAAAATTAGCCAGGCATGGTGGCATTACCTATAGTCCTAGCTAAGGTGAAGGATCCCCTGAACTCAGGAGTTTCAGGACACACTGAGCTATGATCACACCTCCAGCCTGGATGACAGAGTGAGACCCTGTCTCTAAAAAAAATTAAAAATTTTACAGGCAATATTTTTAGGTACAACGGTGGAAAATTATTTTAAAATTGCACCAGATGCATACACTGCTACTATTTAAAACATTTTTCAACAATTTGGATTTGTATTTTTATACCTTCTCCCCTATTAATTCAAATTCATGAGATTTTACTATAGTTAGATTCGATACCATAATCTATTGGTATGATTCATCAGCAGGGAGCTGAGCTAGATTCATTTGTTAATTTATTCACCAAATATCTTCTGCATGTCTACTAAGTACTGGGCACTCAACAGAATATAACAGGTAAGGGCTGTGTCCTCATAAATCTTATAGTCTGGAAACAGACATAAAATATATTTTAGTTAATAACAATTGCTAATTTAAAAAGTGGTACAGAGTAAAAGGATAGAGAGGGTCAGGGGAGACCTTTCTGGTAAGGTAACATTTAAGCAGGAATGTGAATGAAGTTGGGAAACCAGATTTGAAGATAGCTGGGGGAAGAGAAGGTGAGGTAGAGGAAATGGCAGTGCAAAGGTCCTGAGGTATGCTCACTGTGTCTGAGGGACAACAAGGTGGCCAGTCTGGCTAGGCAGGGTGAGTGAGGGGGAAAATATAAGAGATGAGGGAGAGTGTAGAGCCAGAGCACGCAGGGCAGAGACTGCAGATAAGGGATCTGATCTTATCTCTTGTAAGGACTTTGGATTTTATTCTGAATGAGATGGAGAACGGTCTCCGTGATGGCTTTGAGATGGCTTTAAGGTAGGGGGATTTGAGAAGAGGTGCGACATGATCATGGCCAGGTCAGATAAAATGTTTCACTTGGGGGCCAAAAGAACCCCTGTATTACAGATATATTTTAATTTGTGAAATCACAGCCAGATAAGAAAAATACTCATCATTCATGCATGACCCAAATCAACGTATTATTCCACTCATTTATTACATATTGTACCCCACCAGTACTAGCTTTTGGAGATTTTATATGTGTGTGTGTGTACACATATATACACACATATATGTGTATATAAATATGCATACATATTATTTATATGCTTATATGTGCATATACACATTTTATATGTGTATATATTTATGTATAAACAAAAATATACACATATCAAAATATACATGTATAATATATACACATACTGTATATACTTGTTTATGATATATGTATATCTCTCTAATTTTACATATATATGTATATGTAATGTGTAATATGTCAAAGGGGGCAGAAAACTTAAGGGGTTCACCTAATTCAACCCATTAAAAAATGGCTTTGAAAAGAAATTTTAAGCCTGGTGTGGTAGCTCACAAGTGTAATTCTAGCACTTTCAGAGGCTGAGGCAGGCAGATTGCTTGAGCCCAGGAGTTCCAGACCAGCCTGGGCAACACGGTGAAACGCTGTCTCCACCAAAAATACAAAAATTAGCCAGGTGTGATGGTGCATGCCTGTAGTTCCAGCTACTAGACACGCTGAGGTGGGAGGACTGCTTAAGCCCAGGAGGAAGAGGTTGCAGTGAGCCAAAAATGTACCACTGCATTCCAGTCTAGGTTACAGAGCAAGAACCTGTCTCAAAAAAAAAAAAAAATATTTAGCAGAACTCCTTTTTTGAATGAAATGTCCATAAAATTCCCACATATGAAGAGATAAAAGGAATGTTTCTTAAATAAAAGAGTATTTTAGGCCAGGTGTGGTGGCTCACGCCTGTAATCCCAGCACTTTGGGAGGCCGAGGTGGGTGGATTAAGAGGTCAAGAGATTGAGACAATCCTGGCCAACATGGTGAAACCCGTCTCTACTGGTGGAAACACAAAAATGAGCTGGGCATGGTGGCACGCGCCTGTAGTCCCAACTACTAGGGAGGCTGAGGCAGGGGAATCACTTGAACCCGGGAGGCGGAAGTTGCAGTGAGCCAAAATTGCGCCACTGCACTTCAGCCTGGCAACAGAACGAGTCTCTGTCTCAAAGAAAAAAAAAGTTTATTTTATAAGTTCAAATTTGTAACAGTTATTTAATTACAAGGTAATTTAGTAAGAACATTGCTGTGTTGAATGACACAAAACTTTTAAATTAGGGCTTAAAGAAGACAGTTTTGAGCTATGTGATAATTTTCCTTTCAACTTGCTGCAGTTCAGTAAAGTCTTCTGTATGGCACCTAGAACTACTGACAGTATTCAATGCACAGTGTCATTTGCACAGAATAGCTGGACTATGAGCAATCACATTCTATGTACTATATCCATAAGGATTTAGCCTGTGTTAGAATTACATTTTCTTCCCCATTGTAAGGGAGGGGAAGCATGCAGTTGACTCACTCTACCCTGGATTTTATGGTCAACCCAAATTTCTAAGTCTCATTCATGCTCAACTCACATTTACCCAGTCTGTGCCTATATAATAGTTGATTTTATGGACTCAAGAGTCACGTTTTACAAGTTTACTTTGTTAAATTTCATATAGTTAATTTTAAGCTCCTTCTCCTGTCTTTGCCTTAACCCTCTGGTTTTATTTCCTTATCAAACTTCAAACTTAAGATGATCTTGCATTGAGAACTAATTACAACTAGTGGAAATCTATGTCTCTTTGATCTTTTACTGTACCCACCACCATACCCATTTCAATCTTCATCCCTAGAGAGTTTTCATTACTGTCTACTGTTATTTAGCGGAAGCCTCTACTCTGGTGGTCAGTATTAATAAACTGAGTATTGTATAAACCATACTATTTAAACTCAACCATACTTTCACCGGTATTGATCTTTTTTTGTTTTTGTTTTTTTTGAGATAGATCTGTTGCCCAGGCTGGAGTGCAGTGGCAAGATCACAGCTCACTGAAGCCTTGACCTCCCAGGCTTAAATGATTCTCCCTCCTCAGCCTCCTGAGTAGCTGGGACTACAGGCCCAAGCCACCTAATTTTTTAATTAAAAATTTTTTTTCCCAGCTAATTTTTAAATTTTTTGTAGAGACTGTATTTTCCTAAGTTGCCCAGGATGGTCTTGAACTCCTAGGCTCAAGCAATCCTCCTGCTTTGGCCTCCGAAATTGCCGGGATTACAGGCGTGAGCCACTGCATCCAGCCTCATCTTTTATGATGACTTATCAAGTTCTTTATTGCAGCATGTGAGGAATGCTTGGTGACTGCCGCTGATGCAGTGGCTGCCACACGGGTCTTCTGCCTGGTACAGAATGTAAACGTGCTGTGGGAGCTACGTGATATTTTGAGTGAATCTGCACAGTTATACTTACCAAGGCCATGTCTATGTGTGGACATAGGTGGCATCACACTCCAAGTTTTTGTTTTGGGGTTGTAGCACTCTACAGTATTCAAAGTCTTCAGTCCATCTCTTCCTCCAACCACATACAGTTTGTCATCTAGCACTGCAACACCGAACTGTAGCCTCCTCCCATTCATATTTGCTACTGGAGTCCACATATTTGTACGGAGATCATATTTTTCAATGCTTGTTGCTCCTTCATAGTAAGATACAGAAGTTATATAAATAAAAATTATACCATAATTGGTAATTTTATGAAATTACAGATACAAAAATATAATCTTATTAGCATTGAGAATAATAATTTTATTATATTTCATGAAGGTCCTGCATGATCTAGCCTCTGCCTAACTCTGTGTCCTCGACTCTTACTATTCTCCAAGGCACACACAGGCCCCAGTAAGAAAAGGTCAAATGGACAAGGATTATCTGTCAAAGGAGGGTGAGAAACAAACACCCAGAAGTGGGGGGAAAAAAAGCAGAGGCTTAGTTAAGTGTCATGGAAGCCAAAGGAAGAAAGTTTGTAGCAGTAGGTCTGTTAACAGTATCCCACTGAAAGGATCAAATAAGATGAAGACTAAGAAGTATTATTGGATTTAGCTACATGGAGGTCATTGATGACTTCAGTGGGAGGTTCCTTACTGAGTGGTTGAGATGTGACTGGGAGGTGAGGAAACACAGACAGTGAGCATAGAAGATTCTTCTGAGAAGTCTGGCTATCAAAGTAAGGAGAGGTAGAAATTACTAGAAGAGTTGAGGAAAGTTTTGTTTTGTTTTACTTTTAAAATTTGAAAACTCAAGAGTTTGCTTAAATGTGAATGAAAAGGATCTGGTTGAGAGGAAAGCAGCTAAAAATACAGGAGATGAAAGAGATCAGAATGAACATAATGAACCATGTTCATTATGGTTCGTGGGGAGGCAGGAAAGCACAGTACCCAGGGCACAGGCAGAAGAGCTGGCTTTCACAGGAGGAGGGGAACATATTCTACTGCAATAAGCAAGGATAGGGTAAGTATAGATCAGGTACTTTGGAAACTATGAGGGTAAGGAGTTCAGGAAGTTGCTGCCTGAAGGCATCTATGTTTTCCTTTCTTTTTTTTTTTAAGAATTGGAAGATTCCAGGACTCCTTTGTTCTCTTTATGAGTTAAGATGAGCGGATGTTTAAAAAAAAAAAAAAAACCCTCTAAAATAAACCTAACCCCCAATTGTGAAGAGTTCAACTAGAACCCTCCTCTCTCTTCTAAGCTTCTAATACATCAAGTAAGCAGTGCTAACCTTACAGAATTATAATCATGACTAACATTTATTCTAAAGTATTTGTTATAATTTGGTCATCAGAGCACTAGTATTATTGATAATTTCCTAAAATTTAGAAATAGTTTTGTTATACATATGGATTTTCTCATGTTAAAGTTTTTATTTACCCTACAGAATTCTAAATTATTTGGGATAGACAGCAAGTCTTTTTCTACCTCTGCATGCATGCATATATATATATATATATATTTTTTTTTTGAGACAGAGTCTTGCTTTATCACCCAGGCTGGAGTGCAATGGCATGATCTTGGCTCACCACAACCTCCACCTCCAAGGTTCAAGTAATTCTTGTACCTCAGCCTCCCAAACTGGGATTACAGATATGTACCAATCACTCCCAACTAATATTTTATATTTTTAGTAGAGACAGGGTTTCACTATATTGGCCAGGCTGGTCTCAAACTCCTGGCCTCAAGTGATCCTCCCACCTCGGCCTCCCAAAGTGCTGGGATTATAGGCATGATCCACTTTGCCCGGCCTTCACCTCTGTATTTTTCACAGCACCAAATAAGAGTCCCTTATACATAGTATAGCTATTCAAAAATATGTTTGAGTACTTTTTCTTTATAGTTTCTAGCTATAGTGAGGTTTTTTACTCATATGCTTACATTATAATAATAACATACACAGTAATAGTATATTTAATTACTCTAAATTTGATCTTAAAATATCATTCCTGCCGTCAAATAAATCAAATCAAATTAGAAAATTCCCTCCAACAAATAAAAAGCTAATCATCTCTCTTCACGAATATATTTAGGGAATACTTTTCTTTTGAATTTTAAGTTATTTCTTTTAGATCTAGTTTACTAAGCAGTATCATATTCATATGAATTGGTAACTAAAAGTTATTTTGCTAATTTGAAACATAAAAATATTAAAACATAGTCTCAGGTATATATATTTAATATATATTAAGTTATATTTAATATATATTATAATACATTTAATATATATTTAATATATATTATAATACATTTATTATATATTATGATATATTTAATATATAATATTAAATATAATATATAAATTATATATTTATATATAGTATGTTATATCATATGTAATATATAATATATATTATATATATGTATCATATATTATGTAATATATATTATATAATATATAATACATATGCTATATAATATAAATTATATATAAAAATTATATTATAAATTATATTATATAATATATATTATAATTATAATTATATATTAAAATATCATTATATATTAAAATATAATTATATAATTATATTATAATTATATATTAAAATATAATTATGTAATTATATAATTATATATTATAAATTATATAATATAATATAAGTTATATTATATATTATATAGATCATATGTATAATATATTATATATTATATAATATGTATTATAATATATAATATATAAATATAATGTTAAATATAATATATATTAAATATATACATATTTAAATCCAAATATCCAAAACAAAAGCCTAATAATTATAAAATTTTATGTAAAACCTTGGGGCTTCCCTAATTTATACCAAAGAATTAACCTCTTATAAAGTAAGCACAAATATACTCTAACATTTTCTGAGTGGCTATTTGGAGCCAGTATTCACTTATTTGTTTGGCCCTATACTAAACAGATATATGAAGGAACCAAGAGTCCAATGGTCAGACTACCATCTGACTAAGGCAAACTGCTCTTCATTATAAAGATGGGAAATAAATTAGGGCCAGGCAGATAGCTTGAACAGGAGAGGTCAGAGTATTTAATTATTAAAAAATACTCAGAAATAAAGTTGGTCAAACAGAAGGGTCAGATTAGAGAAAGTCTTAAATGAGGCATTTGCATCTTATGTGCTAAGAAATAAAGACTGCTGGAGTTTTTGAGCAGAATAATGGTATGTTCATTGAAGAGTCAATGGAGTAGAGTATCATCTCCAAAGCCAAAATGCCTTTCTGAATCTTGATCTTATCACGAATTAGTTGTGTAATCTTTGGAAAGTTACTTAAGTTCTCCCAAGTCTTAGTTTCCCTATCTATAAAAAGAGAACTGTTATGACGATGAAATGAAATAATATAGGCTAAGTGCTTAGCATAATGCCTGCCACATATTAACAACGTAATGAATGCTATTCCCTCTAAATTAACATGACCAAAATATGTAGGCTGACGAAAGGCTAACTGGAATTAGAAGGATGGCAGCAGAAATTTGGAAGAGTTAGATATAAGACCCATTTGAAAAAAGACCTGACGACTGTCAGAATGTAAGATTTCAGAGAGACAGAGAGAGAATGAGAATTGTTTACTTTGGGTGCTTAGTATCTAGTCCCCTTCCCAAGCTTGGGGAATTTTCCACTGTATGTATGAGCCTTTATGGGAAGCAGGAACTAATCTCCTAGAAAGCTGAAAAGACAGATACACATTTTCCTTGCCATGTACCAAGGCAAGTTTCCTTGCCTTTCCATGTACCAAGTTTGAGTTAAAAGCTGAGCAGCATGACTTATAATCCTTGTGGCAAGGAGGGGGGAGGGATAGCATTAGGAGATATACCTAATGTAAGTGACGAGTTAATGTGTGCAGCACACCAACATGGCACATGTATACATATGTAACAAACCTGCATGTTGTGCACATGTACCCTAGAACTTAAGGTATAATAATAATTTAAAAAGCTGAGCATCAAATAGATATTACATACAAGTTGGAAATATGAGAATAAAATCAAAGTGAGGGTATTATACATAAATATAGAGATAACAGTTAAAGCCTTGAAAAGGAGAGAAAAAGATAGAGGGACGAGAGTGCTAGTAATGACTACAAAAGCTAGCACCAGCTCCAGGTACACAGATGACAATAAGTATTTGCAGATTATCTGAACAATGGAAAATCTTTCCCAATGTTGAAATACTTATACTGTAACCCTAATCAGTTATTTATTTCTGTACCGTGCAGTCATCAGGCCTATATCTAAAACTTAAGCATCTACAAATAAATAGCACTCTGTTATATGTATTTGGGTTAGAAAGTGGTAGTCAGGGGGTTGCTATTGAATGGTCATGGAAGGCCTCCTTGGTAAGTTGTCATTTGAGAGATTTGAGTGAATAATTTCTGCTAGGCACTTCAATATCTGGGGGCAGAGCATGCCAGTGAGAGCATCAGCTAAAGTAATATCCTGGATATGGATAAAATGTTTGGCCTGTTAGATGAATGAAAAGGCCAATGGGGTTGAAATAAAAGCATCAGTAAGGGAAGAAGTATTAACAGAATGAGCTGACATCAGATCAGAGAGGTAGCCAGAAGTCAAAGAGAGATTGTCAGGAGATTGCAGACTGCTAATGCCAGGAGTTCAAAGGGGAGATCAATGCATATTGAGGGATAATACACAGAAAGCTACTAGCATAACACTGGCGACCAGCAGGCACTGTGCATAGTGTTTATTGCTATTATTTTTAATTATTATTTTTTTTTGAGATAGACTCTTGCTCTGTTGCCCAGGCTGGGGTACAGTGGTATGATTTCCGCTCACTGCAATCTCTGCCTCCCAGGTTCAAGCAATTCTCCTGCCTCAGCCACCCAAGTAGCTGGGATTACAGGCAACTGCCACCACGCCTGGCTAATTTTTTTTGATATTTTTTAGTAGAGATGAGGTTTCACCATGTTGGCCAGGCTGGTCTCGACCTCCCGACCTCAAGTGATCCACCCGCCATGGCCTCTCAAAGTGCTGGGATTACAGGCATGATCCCAGCCTATTTTTAATATTAATAATAACTTGTGAGAGTGGTACAAAGAATTCTTAAGATACCTTTGACCCAGATTTCCCAAATGTTTACTTTTTACTGTATTTGCTATGTAGGTATTTTTTTTTTCCTGAACTGTTTAAGAGTAAGTTGTGGCCTGGTGCACTGGTTCACAGCTGTAATCCCATCGTTTTGGGAGGTTGAGGCAGGCAGATCACTTGAGGTCCGGAGTTCGAGAACAGCTGGTCAATATGGCGAAACCCCATCTCTACTAAAAATACAAAAATTAGTCAGGCATGTGTGGTGGCATGTGCCTGTAATTCCAGCTACTCAGGAGGCTGAGGCAGGAGAATTGTTTGAACCCAGAAGGCAGAGGATGCAGTGAGCTGAGAGAGCATCACTGCACTTTAGCATGGGTGACTGAACAAGACTCTGTCTCAAAAAAGCAAAAAACAAAAAAACAGTAACTTGCAGAAATTATGGCATTATACCCCTAATACTCAGTGTATCTTCCTCAAAATGAGAAATTATCTTATAAGACCAAAATACAATCATCAAAATCTGGAAATTAACTTTTTTTTTTTTCTTTTTTTCCGAGATGGAGTCTTGCTCTGTCACCCAGGCTGGAGTGCAGTGGCACAATCTCGGCTCACTGCAACCTCTGTTTCCTGGACTCAGGTGATCCTCCTGCCTCAGCTTCCTGAGTATAGCTGAGACTATAGGCGTGTGCCACCGTGCCGGGCTAATTTTTTTGTATTTTTGGTAGAGACGGGGTTTCACCATATTGCCTATGCTGGTCTTGAACTCCTGACCTTAAGCGATCCACCCACCTCATCCTCCCAAAGTTCTGAGATTACAGGCGTGAGCCACAGTACGCGCCTGAAATTAACGTTTATACCACGTTATTATCTAATCTACAGACCTTATTTGGATTTTGTCATTTGTCTCAGTTATGTCCTTTACAGCAAAAGAAAATCCAAGATGATGCATAATAGCTGTCGCATCTCTTTAGTCTCCTATAATCTGGAACAATTTCTGAATTTTTTTTTTATTTCATGACACTGACATTTTTGAATACTACAGACAGATAAGTTATTTTGTAGACTATCTCTCAACTTAGATTTGTTTCCTCCTCATGATTAGATTCAGGTTATACACTCTTGGCAAGGACGGCATAGATGGGTGGCTGAGTTCTCCGTGCATCCTGTCCTGCACAATGCTGCTGCTTAGTCTGATTTCTGTCAACATTATCTTTGATCATTTGCTTAAGTGCTGTGTGCCAGGTTTTTCTACTGTAAATATACTATTTGTATATTTGTAACTAGTAAACATGTGGCTGAGAGACACTTTTAGACTAAGTATCCTGTTGTCAAACTTTTCCCACTAGTCTCAGCATCCACTGATAATTCTCGACTGAATTGGTTATTGGTGGTTACTAAATGGTAACTTTTGTAATCTCATCTTTCCTTCTATATTCATTCATTGGCATTCTTCTGTAAGGAAGAGCTTTCCTTTCTCCTTTATTTGTATAGGTGTGGAACCATGAATACTTACTGATTTCATAGGTTATAATCCTTTACTATTATTTATTTTGATGCTCAGATTATCCCAGATTTGGACAGTAGTAGCCCTTACAAGCTGTTTCCTGTGTCTTTTGACCTGTCTCCATCATTCTTTGACCACTTCCTTTTTTCCGGTCTAGAGGATGTTACACAATTGTCTGGTACTTTTTCTGCCCCTGTCCTGCAACCAGCCATTTCTCCAAAGAGTTCTTTGGCCGTATATGTACTTATTAAAATATATTTTTCTTTGTTCCTCCCTCCCCCAAATAAAAGATTATTTGATACCTTTCGTTGAATCGATTCCCCCAACTGCAAATAATGTACCAACAGTTGACTTCCTAGGTTTTGTCCGAGGACTCTGTAACATGGGTCGTCTCTCTGGTAATAAATGGTACTTCATTGCTTCCATAATGAGTTTCTGACATTCTATATCATCCCGAAAAAGTGCATTATTTTCCATGTCTGCCAGGAACTAGAAAAGAATAGCGGTGGGTAGGTATACTGAATGACTAAGAAAATGGTAGGGTTTACAGAAAAAAATGACATAATTATCAAACGGATTTTTACATAGTTTTTAAAAATTCAAGCATAGGCACATATTTTTAACTAAAATATGCAACATTTACAAGATTTACATTTTAAATTTCATTGAAAAACAAAACATGAGTAGCATAAATGGTATACTCTAAAATCTTAGTACTGTAGTGCTTATCTCTGGGTAGTAGGAATACTGGCGCTTTTTAAATAAAGTTATTTTTACTACTTTTCTATAATTTCCAGATTTTCTAAAATAAATAATTTTACTATTAAAATCAGAACTAATTCTAATGGAAGAATAATTATAAGTGGGAGTTGACTAATTATGCTACGTTAACTTTGCTAAACAATGTCCAACTAACAACTGCAAAAGCAAAAGTTACCAATTTCTCAGGGGACAAAGAACTCCAAACAGTGATTGGCCTAAAAACATTAAAATCCCTTTTGTGTCACTGAATCCAACTTTATATATTTATATAACACAAATACAATTTTTATATGTTTATATAGCACACATACGATTACACCTTGTCTTTTTAAAAATGATAGTCTTTTAAAAAATAAAATGAAAATACGATCACATTGGAAATTAAATAAAACAAAAAAAAATTTAAAATCTTTTCCTTTTGTGCTTGGTTCTCCATCCCCCCTCCCCATCCTGCAATTCTTCCCTGCCTTATAAAAACAACCTGGTGTGCAGCCTTTCATATTTTCTTCATATTTATGCAATCCTCTGCTGACATAATTCTCATACATTTATATGTATAACATATATAAATACATGTAGTAATTTTTACAGTTTTTTCTTTTAGTAATTGTTTTATTATATGCTTTGCTGCATCTTACCATCTTTACTCAACATTATCTCACAAAAATTCCTCCAGGTCTTCTGAAAAGGTATAGTTCTGATCTATTCTTTTTTTTTTTTTTTTTTTTTTTTGAGACGGAGTCTTGCTCTGTCGCCCAGGTTGGAGTGCAGTGGCACGATCTTGGCTCACTGCAAGCTCTGCCTCCCAGGTTCACGCCATTCTCCTACCTCAGCCTCCCAAGTAGCTGGGACTACAGGCGCCCGCCACCACATCCGGCTAATTTTTTGTATTTTTAGTAGAGACGGGGTTTCACTGTGTTAGCTGGGATGGTCTCGATCTCCTGACCTCGTGATCTGCCCACCTCGGCCTCCCAAAGTGCTGGGATTACAGGCGTGAGCCACCACGCCCGGCCTGATCTATTCTTTTTAATAACTGAATAATACTCTATAGTATATAGATACGCTAATTTTTTAGCCATTTCCTTATTACGGACATTAACTTTGTTGCAGTATGTACATACATATATTCATATGTATATATGTGTATATATACACACATGCATATGTAAATATACTTTTTTCTGCTACTAAAAACAAGTCCAGTACAAAAGTCCTTATGATTAATTTTTACCTTTATAGGATAGATTTCTAAGAATTGAATTGATTCCAGGTGGGTCAAAGTATATATGTATGTATGTATGTATGCATGTGTGTGCACATATATGTGTATCTGTGTGTGTCTATGTGTATGATCAATGTTGTCAGATTATTTTCCAGGGTGGCTCACATTCCATTATAGTCATGTATAATAAAGTGGCTCACATTCCATTTTATATATATATAGAGAACCATGTATACATATATATATCTAGAGAGAGAGAGAGCGCGCCCTATACATATAGCCACGTATATAGCCATATATATGTATATATGGCCATATATATGTGTGTCTATATATAGAGACAGCCATGTATAGCAAAGTAGCTCACATTCCATTATAGCCATATATAAGAGCACAAGACCACAACATTCCTGCCAGGAATAAGTGTTTTAGCTCTTTTTGTTAATGATATCACATTTTCCCTTTAATTTGAATTTTTCTGATAAGTGAATATAAGCATTTAAAAATATTTTGACCATTTGTACTTTTTCTTCCTTTATCTGCCTCCTTTTGTCTACTATCTTTTGATTAAAAATTTGTAAGAGTTCCTTATAATACACACACTAATCGTTTATTTTTCAACTGTATTTTTCTAGATTTTTAATCATTTGTCTATTAAAGTTGTTTCATAATACTTTTGCTATTCAAATAATTTTTCATTTTTAGGTCATCAAATATGTGTCTTTCTTTTCACAGTCCTGCTTCTTAGAAAGTCTTTTTGCTTCAGTTTGTAGATGTAGTCTCCTGGATTATCTGGCAAGATTTTATTGCTTTCTTTCATTTAGGCCAAGAATTCACGTGAAATTCATTTGTTTTGGAATTAATGTTTAAAAAGAGTAAGAGTGGAGGAGCATTTTTATTTTCTTTAAGATCAAGAGCCAGTTCTGTACTACTTATTAAATAACCCCCTTCATTTCCAACTGAATTGATTCTTGGTCATGTATTACATTCCATAAATAGATCTCAAGGTATATGAGGTTTGTTTTTTTAATTCTTTATTCTGTTCTATTGATCTATTTGTCTACTCCTATTTCTAAATAGCATATTTTATTACAGTGTCTTTATAGCATATTCTGATACCCGATATTTTTAGGTTTTCCCTCCCTGTTAACTTTCATAGCTTTCTTGGCTATTATTGTGCCTTTATTTTTCATGTAAACTTAAGACAAATTTATCCATTTTTTTTTTTTATCCTGATTCTCTTGGAATTCTAATAAGAACTTAAATTTATTAATTAAATTTATTAATTTTATTAAGTTTTGGAGAACTGATGTTTTTATATTAAGTCTTTCTGTTCAAGAAGCCTTTCCATTTGTTGTATAGCTTTCTACATATTACACCTTTCTTGATTATACATTTCCTATATATTTTATTATTTTCATTGCTATTGGGAATGAGTTTTAAAAGTTTATTTCATATATGTGTTGCAGGAGAGAAAATCTACTGATTACACTTGTATTAACCTATTACTTTACCAAATTCCCTTATTAAGCTCTATGTGTTATGCAAATAATCATAACTGTCACCAAATAGGGATAGTTGAATATCTTTTTCTAATGTGTATGCCAATTATTTTATTATTGCAATTGCTAAAGCCTTCTAAAGAATGTTAAATAATTAGGATGATAGAGTATCTTGTTTCTGGTTTGAATTGATATGGTTTTAGTGTTTCATTACTTAGGACAATAGTTGCTGTAACATTTAGTCATCTATTTTTATTATATTCAATAAAGATAATATAGATTTTCATAGTTTTTTTTTTTTTTTTTTTGAGACAGGATGTCTCACTGTTGCCCAGGCTGGAGTGTGGTGGCGCAATCTCAGCTCACTGCAACCTCTGCCTCCCAGGTTCAGGCAATTCTCCTGCCTCAGCCTCCTGAGTAGCTGGGATTACAGACCTGCACCACCACATCCAGCTAATTTTTGTATTTTTAGTAAAGAAGGGCTTCACCATATTGGCTAGGCTGGTCTTGAGCTCCTGACCTCAAGTGATCCTCCTACCTTGGCCTCCCACAGTGCTGGGATCACAGGCATGAGCCACCATGCCTCGCCCCTTCATAGGTTTCTTAATGATCATTTCAGTATTCCTAGAAAAAGACCTTTCTGGTCAGAGTGTATACTTTCGATACACTGCGGGTTGTATTTGACTATATATTTCTTTACAATTTTATTGGGGCATATTTTACATGTCCTAATTTATCCATTCCAAGTATACAATTCAGTGATTTGTAGTAAATTACCAAGTTGTGGAACCATTACCATAAAACTGTTCTGAAACATTTTCTTCACCTCAATTACATCCCACATGCCCATTTACTGTTGATCCTCATTCCCGTCTTCTGTCCCAAGCACTAATCTGTCTCTACAGATTTGCTTTTGCTGGACATTTCATATACAGAGAATCACAATATGGAGACTCTGGTGTCTTGCTTCTTTCCCTTAGCATACTTTTGAGACTTGTCCCTGCTGTAGCTACTCATATCAGTGCTTCATTTCTTTTTATCGTTGAATAATATTCCACTGTCGGTCTACTCCTCATTTTATCCATCCATTCATCAGTTGATAGATGCTTCTTAGGTTGCTTCCAGTTTCAAGCTATTATGGATAAAGCTGCCAAGAACATTTATGTACAAGTCTTTGTGTGGATATATTTCTCTTGGGTAATTATTACCTAGGAGTAGAATTGCTGGGGCATATGGCAAATTTATGTTTAACTTTTTAAGAAACAACCAAACTTGTTTTCTAAAGTGGCAGCACCACCTTACATTCCCACCAGCATTGTACGAGGGTTCCTGTTTTTGCACATCCTCACCAATTGTTAGTTTGTCTCTATTTTAGCCATTCAGGAAGGTGGAAAATGTGGTTTTATTTTGCATTTTCCTAGTGACTAATGATGTTGATGATATGTTCATGTTTTTATAGAGGAAGAGGGAAACAGTCTCTAAAAGGAGTCACTATAAAAAAGTTGGTGGCTTTTGGAAACTAGCACTGCATACCAAAGGCAAAAAAGCCAAAATAAGACGTAAGTCCCCTGACCTACACCAGAATTTACATTTTGGTATTAATTACTCCACATTTTTTTCTACGCATACAAAACATAGTTATACTTGTCACAGAAACCATTAGTGAATATGCATAAAGTTGGCTCATTAAGGTTAATTTTAATGTTTATGTTAATTCTATTATATACAATTACTTTAGTTGTTTCTAAATAAAAATATGTGAAAAAAATGTAGAAAGTAAACTCTTGGGAGACTCAATAGTAACTGCAATTTGAAGCAAAGTATATTTCCTAATATACAGATAGTATATGTAAGTTATGAATAAGTAGGATTAATTACATTTGAATTAAAAAAGCCATTAATCTAAGTATCAGATTAATCAAATGGGAGGAACCAGATATCATTTAGAAAATTATTCAGAAGACACTGAGAGAAAACTACAAAATATATACTCTCATGTACTC